GCAGCTGACCATCAGGTCAGAAAATGCACCACAGTGAAATGTTGGAGATGCAATGAACTGGGCCACAAGGCTAAAGATTGCAATTCAGACAGTCTCTGCAACCTGTGTGGAGAGATCGGGCACACCTTCTTCAACTGCCCATCTTCTTATGTAAACAAGGCAAAAACCCAGCAGCAGCCTGGTCCTCCTCCAGTCACCCAGCAGCAGCAGCCCCGTCCTGCAGCCAAGCAGAAACCTGGTCCTGTACTCCCTCCAGTCGCCCAGCAGCAGCCCCGTCCTGCAACCCAGCAACAGCCTGGTCCTCCTCAGTCACCCAGCAGCAGCAGCCCTGTCCTGCAGCCCAGCAGCAGCCTGGTCCTCGTCCTTCAGCCCAGCAGCAGCCTGGTCCTGATCCTTCAGCCCAGCAGCGGCCTGGTCCTAGTTCTTCAGCCCAGCAGCAGCCTGGTCCTGATCCTTCAGCCCAGCAGCGGCCTGGTCCTAGTTCTTCAGCCCAGCAGCAGCCTGGTCCTGGTCCTCACCCAGCAGCCCAGCAGCAGCCTGATCGTCGTCCTGGTCCTCACCCAGCAGCCCAGCAGCGGCCTGGTCCTAGTTCTTCAGCCCAGCAGCAGCCTGGTCCTGGTCCTGGTCTTCACCTAGCAGCCCAGCAGCAGCCTGATCGTCGTCCTGGTCCTCACCCAGCAGCCCAGCAGCCCAGCAGCAGCCTGGTCGTCGTCCTGCCAGCAAGGATCTCCCTCTCCCTGGAGATCAACAGCCTTCAGCTCCTGAAGGCGATTCTCCATCCCAGTCAGGTGAGGGTAGATTAACTATTGATAGCGATGTAGAGAGCGAGTACAGCTCTGAGAATGAGATAGAAGATGAGAAATATTATGAGAGTGTGAGCGAAAGCCCAGGATCTGACTCCAGCCCTGACAGCCTTACAGCTGGTCAGCGAGTCAGCATGCCCCTCTACTCGCCCCCTGAGAGCAACTCGGGGTCTTTTTCACCAACTCCGGAATTTCCAGAACCCCCGAGTGAGGCTCAGGGGGAAGCCCCGCCTGAGGTCTCAAAAAAGAGACCTGCAAGTAGAAACTTGAACCAAAATGAAAAACGGGCAAATGTAGATACACCATAGTGATTCATTTTATAAACCAATATGAGCTTCTTAAATGTCGCTACCTGGAATGTACATGGTGTTCAGTCTAAGGACTTTCGAGAGAGGAAAATTAAATATTCATTAGACACTAATTATGACTTCCGCTTTACGCAGGAACTTAGACTGAATACCACCAGTGATGTTGATGATGTGTGTAAACGGTGGCATAAAGGCAAAAGTATTATATCGGAGAGAGTAGAGCTGACGGACTTGGCATTTTCTTTAAAGAAAAAGACATCACTATTATTAGAAGAAGGGACATCATCCCAGGAAGGCTGCTTATGGTGGATTGCTTTTTATAAAAATGAAAAATATCGACTTATTAATATTTATACTGCCCCTGATGCAACAAATAAGTTACAATTATCTAGAAAACTTAGAGAGTTATTAACAGTGGGTTAAAAAATTATATTAGGTGGTGATTTGAATACAATAACAGAAGACATAGATAAGTGTAGTACAGCTGTTTTTAAACTGAGGGCGGAAGGAAAGCTGTTGAGAGAAATCTGCAGCGATGCAGGCCTAACCGATGTCTGTCGCTCTTTGAATCCCGCTGGAATGGAGTGGTCGCTCCTACGGGGCATCGGGTTAGACTTCAATGTAAATTATATCTCAATCATGTATTGTATTCTGGATGAGGGGATGGACAATAAACACAGGGACCTTTTTCAGCTGGTAATTTGTATCACATGTATGAAGATCTGGAAAACAAGGTGCAAAATGGTACTAAATCAGACGATCATAAACAGTGGCACCATCGTGAAACAAATACTTAATGAACTAAGGAGGGAAAAAAACCCTGGACAAATCCCAGACTCAGCCATGGGGCGTTTTGAGTCTGTGACCGAGCTGAGTCTCATTGGAATATAAACGTGCTCTCTTTATGTTATTTATATATTTATTCATTATGTCTTATGTGTATTATTAATGTAACTTGTGTATATCATGTACTGCCAGAATAATTATAAAATAAAGTTTTCAAAAAAAAAAAGTATAGTAACACTATGATAGTGTTATATTGTCATCACTTTGGAAAGTGTTAATTACATGGGTGTTGAATTTTAGATTTCAAATTTGCTGTGCATGATCATAATGTCTGAGTGGGGTTCATGTGATCGCTGTGTGACAGTTTGATGTAAAGACAAGGATCATTTGTTAGCATGAAAGACTGACACTGGGGACACGAATATCTATATCTGTGTAAAAATAAGGTGTAAAACGGATTCATGTACAAAATGTGATTCTTGTCTTCTGAGATGAAATGTGAAATTGAAGATTTACAAAAACACATTATAACCTATATATGGTGTATGATGGACAGTTAATCCTACACATAAAGTCTAATGTGTGTCAAGCTTTTTTTGAAAAATCAGTTTTTAAGAAATGTGTAGCATACATTTTTGGAAATTGGCTAGTTTCTTAACAAATATAATTAACAGAAACAGATTATAAGAAAACCATGTAATTATGAAACACACAACATATTTTCACGAGCAGGAACCACGGCAAAACAGTGTGATGTTTGTAAGTTTATTGAAGTAACATGTGAATGGTATGAAGGGGGTGAAGGGATGTTCTGGGAGGACGAGCTGTGGTCCGTGCAGTGGGAGACTCAGAGTGGGGGTTCCGTCTCCGGCATGATCTGCGTGGACTGATTACGGGCCCCCAGACGACACCTGGAATTAAAATATTAGTGTACACAGTATATAAATATGCACAGTTTAAATATAAATGTTGCCGGGCAGAGGATGTTGGGATGAAGGGATGGAGGGATGTAGAGGGGAGGGAGGGAAGAAGGGATGGATGGATGTATCGCTCGGTGTGAGTCGGAAGAGGAACTGTATGGGTAGAAGGGAGAGGGAGGGTGGGTTGAAAGGATGGAGACGAGCAGTGGCCGGAAGTTTTGCCGGATATAAATAGGGGTGGCCGTGGTTCGAGGCGGAGTTTTAGGCATGGCCATGCTCCTGAACCTATGTTAACAATTTAACCTCATTTTTTAAATCTTAAACTTGTTGTATGAGAACTCATTGAGAAACACTAAAAACGTAATATTAAAAAGCACTTTTTTTGTAAGCCTGGTGTACATTTTAGCTTTTGCCTTTGTGTGTTTATATTACAGCAATCTGTTGACATAAAAAAACAAGACTTCATAATCCTTTTATTAATTATTCGGCTTTCGTGCCACATTATGCCACACTGACTTCATTAGCGCTGTTGAGATACTTTTGAGCAGCAGCAAGTGGAAAAAAGGGAATCCCTACTATTGAAAAACCACCAGGAAAACAGTTGTTTAAAGTATTTAAATGTATATTTTGAATTACTTTCCTAGCAGTGGTGGTGTTAGAGCTGCACAGAGAAAACAGACTAACTAACATATATAAAATTAAAAGTTGGATCAGATTTTTAAACAAATGAGGTTTACATGCAAGAAACACAGTGACACAGAGCTAAGCTAATCAGTCATGCTGGAGGCAGTTTTTTTTAATCCTGTGGGGGAGCGTGGATGGAGGAGAGAAGGTTGAGACAGGAGTTAGACAAAAAGACGGTGCAGTGAAACACAAAACTACTTGCAGTGAGAACATCAACGTGATTTCATTTTTAGTTTGACCCTCAATCAACTACTACATTTTGTTCAAATGTCAAATAAATACTCTATTAATCATTTACCATTTTTTGCTTTAAAAGCTAGAAAGGAAGTCTCAGATTTCATGCTTTTTTTTTAATACATGAACATGAGAAAAGTATTTATTTATAACACATTACTTCAAAAATCTGAGATTAGGATCACTCGGCAAATGTAAATGTAGTGATCTTTTTTTTATTATCTTGTGCTAACAAACAGAAGCAGACATGGCGATGAAGAGGGTTTTCGTATAGTGACAACGTTTGTAATACCTAATTCAGCTTAATTTAACGCAGGACCAATTAAAAAATGGCCTGAAGGAAGAAAAAGGTGGTTCGATTTTTGTTTATATCTTCATCTAAATAATGAATGAACTAATGAATTAAGTGATGTTAAAATTATGTAAAAGAGAACACTTTTTGTACTTCCTATTCATGACATGCTTACTGATATGTCTATTTTTATTACTTTTTCATCAGGACCCATACAACTAATAGTGTATATAAGAAATCCTTCAACATCGATTAGCACACTAGAATGAGATAACTTGATGATATGTTGATATGATATATTTAGAACCCAGGGGGGGGTCCGTACCCTGGCTTTAGCCCGCTGGAACTGGTCCTCTTTGTTTTCCAGCTCGTTGCGCAGAGACTGCTTCTCTTGCTCGAGCTCGGTGAGGCGCTTCTGCAGCTTCAGGATCAGCGACATGGCTATTCCCTGAGGCACATCCTGCACACACAGACATGTTAGGACAGAGCATGGGCACAATGAAAAGTATTTAAAGGGATATCATATCACTAAATGAAAAGCCACTTTTATCAGCTGCAACTACCAGTGGAAACCAGGTGTTTCCTCTTGTAAAATACAACCAAACTAAATGCAACCAGTCTTACTTCCGCAGCACGAGAACCTTCCTCCAATTCGGCGTACTCTGAGTTGTATGAAGTCATATCACATTAAATCCCTATTTTATTTCCCATTCTTTATTATCTCTTGTTCAAAATGTGATGTTTTCTTAATTAGAAAGCTTGTTTTTTCTCTAATCTGCAGAACGCCTCCAAGCCTGGTCACAGGTGAAAAGATTACACGCACAGCAGCAACGAATGAGACTTCAGACAGTTGGTGCAGCTAAGTGCAGAATATTACCAATTTTATGTTCTGCTGTTCTAATGTAGAAAAATATTCAACAATGGATCAAACAAATATTGTTGTCTCAGTGTTTTTAGCTTTTTATGAAGTTGTGTGACACTGACAATGTCTAAAAATGTTCATAAAGATGTCTCGTAATATGGACTGTGTGTCTCTCACCGAGGAAGCCATCGCCTCCTTCAGGTCGTCGTATTTGTCCTCCATGCGCAGGTGCTCCCTCAGGAGATTCTGGCAGCGAGTGGATCGCTATTGTAGTTGTAAGTACAATGCCAGGAAAGGAGTGAGCAGAGGGTCGAGTTGTCGATTCTTGTTCTGTTTTCTGTGACTATCTTCCTCACCCTCTCAGGCTTTCAGTTGCGCACGCTACTAAAGAGACGCGCTACCATGGAAACCGGGTGAGGGCTATGAAATCGGGAGTCTCCCCCGAAATTCTGGAGGGTTGGCAAGTATGCATGTAGCATATGTCCAGAAAACAGTTTTGTATTAATACTGCACGAGTGAATGACCTCAACCCTTAGAATGAATGATGGTGAAGCTCTCTCCTCAAAGTCATGGACCGGAGTGTAGCCGTACAAGAGCTTCACAATCTGAAAGAGACAAAACACAGACAGTTATGAACACATTTTACCTACAGTTGTTTTCTTAGCGTTCAGACGGACAGAGACATCTTGTCTGGTTTCTCTGAATGCAGTGTTGTAGGACAATGTACCTGAGGCGTGTTGAGCGCCAAGCACATTTTGCAGATGGCCTCGGCGTCCTCGTCCGTCTTCTTGTTCTGCAGCAGCAGCTGAGTGGCCTGGATCAGAGGCTCCAGCGTCTCCTTCGCCCCTGTGACGAAGATGGCTTCGTCACTGTGGACTGTATTTTGAAAAGTGTTCCCCCTCCCGTTCTTTCTGTTACTCCTGATTATGTTCACCTGGTGCCCTGTGTTGTCTCCTCCCCCCTCACCTGTGTCTAATTGCTGATTAGTGGGTGTGTATTTAGGCTCTGTGTTTCCTGTTTGGTGGAGGCTGGTAGTGTGGGTGAGATCCTTGTGGCTGGTGACTGTGTTCACCTGGGCAGCAATATTAAGGCTGTGTATCCTGTACCACAGCGATGAATAAATGCCCACATCGGGTTATATTTGAATTCTCTGCCTCTCTTGCTTGGTCGGGCCGCTCCACGGTCAGTTTCACATTTGGTGTCAGAAGTGGGATTGACCAAGTGAGGAGGTGAAAACGATGGAGGAACTGAGGGAGATGATGAAGTCATTCCTGCAATATGAGACAGCCAGATTCAAGCGGGAGGAGTGTCGTTTGAGGAACATGGAGCAGCCGATACAGGAACAGGTTTCCCTGATGGAAGAGAAAGAAGAGCAGCTCAGGTTGCAGAGGCAGGAAGAGGAGAAGCTGAGAAAGGAAGAGGAGATGCGCTTAGTGGAGGAGGCTCGTCTGATACACCTGCAGGAGAAGAAACTTGCAGAGGAGAAGAAAATTAAAGACGAGGAAGATGCTTTTCTAGCGGAGGAGGAGCGGGTGAAAATGGCTGAGGGGATCCGTCGGGAGAGAGAGCGCGTCATGCAGCAACAGCTGGAGGAGATAAGGGCTCATGCAGAGGCCCTGTCAGCCGCTCAGACTCAGGTGGAGAAGCAGGTGATGAAGACGCTGCAGGCAGAGAAGGCGGCGTACGTGGAGAACCTGACGGAGGCTATCGCGAAGGAGCGGGAGAAAGAGTTGAGGAAGAAAGGGAAGCTTCCTTCCGACTTCACGCCCCCCTCTGAGGAAACCATGCGGCACAAGGAGAAGCAGAAACACCGGGCGGAGTGGAGACACATGGGGGAGCGCAAAATGGCCAAGATCAATAAGTGTCGCAGGAATAAGGTACTGTTCTCTTTCGGGAGAGGAAGGAGGAAATGTGACGAAGATGGCTTCGTCACTGTGGACTGACGGCTTCGGGCTTTGTATATTGCACATGTCTTGTATTTTGAAAAGTGTTCCCCCTCCCGTTCTTTCTGTTACTCCTGATTATGTTCACCTGGTGCCCTGTGTTGTCTCCTCCCCCCTCACCTGTGTCTAATTGCTAATTAGTGGGTGTGTATTTAGGCTCTGTGTTTCCTGTTTGGTGAAGGCTGGTAGTGTGGGTGAGATCCTTGTGGCTGGTGACTGTGTTCACCTGGGCAGCAATATTGAGGCTGTGTATCCTGTACCACAGCGATGAATAAATGCCCACACCGGGTTATATTTGAATTCTCTGACTCTGCCTCCTTGCTTGGTCGGGCCGCTCAACGGTCAGCTTCACAGCCCCGCACACCATCAGATCTTTGTCTCTGAGCCACTTCTCCAGCTGGCTCACATTGTGCCTGCAAACACACACACGATTACAATACATTTTATTTAGCTCATGCTTAAGTGACTTATGATAAGCGCAATCAACCAAAAAGCATAACATTCCTAACACCAAGAAAAACAGATATGACATTTATTTATTGGTAATAAAAACTGAATGTTACTTTTTGTAATAACAACATTTTGTGAAAAGAGAAATTATGCATATCGAGTACTTTTACTTTTGATACATTTAGCTGATAAAACTTCTGTACTTCCACTAAAGTAACATTTTCAGTTCAGGAATCATCAGAATCAAGTTTATTGCCAGGTGCGTTTACACCTATGGTTTACACATACATAAGGAATTTGCTTTGGTATTTGGTGGTGCGAACTTAAACAATAAAAAAAAAAAAAAAAAAGTTGCAAAGTAGGTAAAATAAATAAATAATTGTAATTTGTATACTTTTAAGTTAGAGTACTTCTTGCACTCCTGCTTATATTCCAGAGAAAGCATACTTTTCTACAGTCAAAATTGTGAAAATACACCAAAAACAATCTAGACTGAAATATGATTTTTTTGTTTTGTTAAGTCAGGGGTGTCAAACTCAAGGTTACGTGTCGCTTTATAGAAGCACGTTGCCCATAAACTACATATCCCACAATGCATCTCGTTTTGTGACATAGCACTCAGAGACTTGCAATTATTTGCTCTAAACTTCTGCTTTCAGACGTGGTTAATTATGAAGTTATTACCCTATCCAATAATAATCCAATGCAGAGGTAATAATGTAATATAATACATTATTTTATATATGATATATTTATACATGCATATTTATAAAGTCTTAACGTTACAACCGGCCCTTTGAGTGCAACCATAACACTAATATGGCCCTCGACTAAATTGAGTTTGACACCCCTTTAAAGGTGGGGTAGGTACATTTGAGAAACCGGCTCGAGATCGCTAGAATTAGAAAATACAAAACCGGAAAAAATCTGCCACTTCCTTACAGAGACCCTCCTCCAACACACACGAACGCGCACATGACCAATGAGGGCACGAGATAAGTTTGTGCACAGATGGAAGGCTGACAGGCAGGTAGACCATCCAGTTATTTTAGCCGGGCCAGCTAAAATGATTGGTCGTGCTTTTTACAGTACTACGGCTTCCACAGATGACATTTTTTTTAATGGATTTTTTGTCAAAGCACTTAAGATATTCATTGCTATCGGGATGTTAAGTAGTGATGGCAAAATGAAGCTTTGAATGAAGCATCGAACCACTTGGACAATTGTGTCGGAAATAGGTTAATTTCTCGAAGCTTCAGTTACAGCGACCTCTCCTGGCGAAGTGCAAGGCTGCAGTGGGTTTAATGTATCTTTGCCTTGAAATAATGAACTGAATATTCGATGCACACACACACTAAGACTGAATATCATGTTCTATTTGCAATTAAAGATTGATAATTGTGTGTATTGGGTTATTGAGAAGAGACTAGAGAGTGCTGGAATTTTTTTTGGGCGGAGAGTGCCTTTAATCAGTTATTAAAGTATTAAAGTTGAAGAACAATGATCAAAAGTTTGACTATTCTGGGCTTTGAACCAGATGCGAGGAGGACATCGGTGCATCCTGGCCGCCGGCTCTATCCACTGGGCTATCTATTCCTTAAACTATTGAAGTGTTTTTATAGTAATTATTGTCTTTTTGTTCACAACTTCTCCACATTTCGAAGTGTTTCCCGAGCCAGAACGACCTATCTTACTTCCTGGCTTGATCTATAATGATATCAAATGCAATACCAACAACAACTCAACAGCAACAACGCAAACTACGACAACAACCCACATATTGCGCATTGTTTAGAGCGGTCATAAAGTGTTGAAGCGCTCAAATTCAAAACTGTTTCAACCTGTCAGAATCGAGACGAGGCAGTGCATTGAATCACCTGATTAGACGGCGAACCAGTGAGTTGATTCATTCAGGAAATGAAGCAGTTGCTGCTTCGGACGTCATATGTCACGTGATTCGAAGCAAGCTTCGAAGTACTGCTTCTATGGAATAGGAAGTCCAGGGTTGAAGCTCCGTTCGAAGCTTCAGTGTCAAACTGCCATCACTAATGTTAAGAGCATTCCATGGAATATAACAAGAAGTGTATCTCGAGCCAGTTTCTCAAACTTACCTACCCCACCTTTAAGTGTTCACAACACATAAAGCAGAGCAGTTTCCCTCCCAGCAGCCCCTTGTCTCACCTGATCTGCATGGCTTTGCTCCAGGAGCACATGTCCTTGCGCAGCAGCAGGTTGTTGAGGGCAGGGACGGACTTGGACTACAAATCAGCCCGGGACGTCCCGAAGGCCAGTCCTCCCCTGGTCACTAGCACACCCCCGCCATCGCCAATTTACTAGCGGTAATTACTTAATAATTAATTAGTAATTACTTCAATGAAAAGTGGAGAACAACTGCATATGCATATTATGAACACAATAAGACAAGAGCAAAGTTTCCAATATTGGTCAACTTCATTGAAAAGCATGCACGCATTGTATCAGACCCCATGTTTGGAGACATACAGGATGTCATGCCAAAAAGGGATATTAAAGTGTACAAATCACCCAACAATAAGCCTGCTCATGGTTATAAGGGAAGTAGTTTTGTTACTGTGACAAGCCCAGGAGTTAATGAAGAGCAAAAACCTTTCCAAAACATCAAATCAGACCATAAAGGCATTACTGTTCAGAAGCGCTGTGTATTTTGTGCAGGAGAACACACCTCTGAAACATGTAAGATGAACAAAACATCTCACAATGAAAAGATCGACTGCTTAAAAGCACAAGGAATTTGCTTTGGCTGTCTAACGAAAGGACATCTAAGCAAAGACTGTCAGAAAAGAATGAAATGTGAAGTTTTTTCAATGAAACATCCAACAATATTGCACTTCTACAAGAAAAGGATTGAACAAAAAGACAACTCTGATAAATACACCCAAGCAGCTTCTGTAAGCAGTGCATTAGTCTCTTTAAATGGCAGAAACCACACTGGGGCCGGTGGTCAACAAACCCTACCAATTATCCCAGTTCAAATAAAGTTGTCAAACTCGAACCAGACTGTGCAGACTTACGCATTTATGGATCAGGGAAGCACTGTACGTTTTTATACTGAAGCCCTTCAACAAGATTTGCATGCCAAAGCCAAGAGAACAAAAATCCTCTTAAAAACAATGGGTCAGGAGAAAATGATTGACACTTCCTTTGTCAAAGGTCTTGAAGTGAGTTGCATCGAAGGCAATGATTTTTATTAGCTGCCTAAAGTCTACACACAAGAGGAAATTCCTGCTGGAAAAGAGCACATTCCCACTCAAGAGACCATAAATAAATGGAAATATCTAAGAGAGATTAAGTTGCCTGAATTGGATTGTGAAATCGGGTTGCTTATAGGAACAAATGCACCAAAGCTAATGGAGCCATGGAAAATAATAAACAGTCAAAATGGAGGACCCTTTGCTGTTAAGACAGTCCTAGGTTGGGTTGTGAATGGATTGAATCAGGAAACCTGAATCTTAGAATACT